AGTGCTCCTTTCTATGTTTAGTGCTTATTTCAGGAGCTCTTGTATCACAGGCCTGGTGATGATGAAATCTCTCAGCAATTGCTTTTTCATAAAGGATTTTATTTCTCCTTTGTTTATGAAGCTTAGTTTGGCTGAATATGAAATTCAGGTTGAAAGTTTTTTTCTTTAAGAATGTTAAATATTGGCCCCCATTCTCTTCTGGCTTGTAGGGTTTCTGCCAAGAAAGCCGTTGTGAGTCCGATGGGCTTCCCTTTGTGGGTAACCTGACCTTTCTCTCTGGCTGCCCTTAGCATTTTTTCCTTCATTTCAACTCTGGTGAATCTGATGATTATGTGCCTTCAGGTTGCTCTTCTTGAGGAATATCTTTGTGGTGTTCTCTGTATTTCCTGAATTTGAATGTTGGCCTGTCTTACTAGGTTGGGGAAGTTCTCCTGGATAACATTCTAAAGTGTGTTTTACAGCTTGGATTCATTGCCTCCGTCACATTCATGTACACCTATCAAATATTGATTAGGTCTTTTCACATAGTCCCATATATCTTGGAGGCTTTAATCATTTCTTTTCACTATTTTTTCTCTAATCTTGCCTTCTCATTTTATTTCATTGAGTTGATATTTGACTTCTGATATCCTTTCTTCTGCTTGGTCCATTTGGCTATTGAATCTTGTGTGTGCTTCGTGAAATTCTTGTGTTTTGTTTTTCAACTCCATCAGGTCATTTATATTCTTCTCTAAGCTGTTTATTCTCATTAGCATTTTGTCAAACCTTTTTTCAAGTTCTTAGTTTCTTTGCATTGGGTTAGAACATGTTCTTTTAGATCAAAGAAGTTTGTTATTACCCACCTTCCGAAGCCTGTTTCTGTCAATTCATCAGACTTATTCTCCATCCAGCTTTGTTCCCTTGCTGGTGAGGAGTTGTGATCCCTTGGAGGAGGAGAGGTGTTCTGGTTTTGGGTGTTTTCATCCTTTTTGCACTGGTTTCTTCCCATCTTCACAGATTTATCTACCTGTGGGCTTTGTAGTTGGTGACTTTCAGATGGGGTCTCTGAGTGGATGTCCTTTTTGTTGATGTTGAAGTTACTTATTTCTGTTTCTTAGTTTCCCTTCTAATAGTCAGGCCCCTCTGCTGTAGGACTGCTGGAGGTCCATTCCAGACCCTGCTTGCCTGAAGATCACCTGTGGCAGCTGCAGAACAGTAAGGGTTGCTGCCAGTTTCTTCTTTTGTTATCTTCGTCCCAGAAGGATACACACCAGATGTCAGCCTGACCTCTCCTTTATGAGGTATCTCTTTGTATATATGGGTTCAGGGAGCTGCTTGAGGAGAGAGTCTGTCCCTTATAGGAGCTAATGTGCTGTGCTGGGAGCTCCATTGTTGCATTCAGAGCTGCTGGGCTGGTACTTTTAAGTCTGCTGCAGTAGAACTTATAAACTCCTTTTTTTCCAGGTGCTCTGTCCTGAGAAGGTGGGGCTTTATTTATAAGTTCTTGATGTGCTGCTGCCATTTTTCAGAGATACCCTGCACAGCAAGGAGGTAGCCTACCTACAGTCTGCCAGCAAAGGCATTGCTGAGCTACCCTGTGCTCTGCCCAGCTGCTGTGTGAACTTCCTTGTGGTTTTTTTTACAGAAGTATAGTTGGAACTGCCTCGATAATGGTGGTCTCTGTCAGTAATGGCAGACTGCATCAGTAATGGCAGATTGGCCCGGTAATGGCGAACTGCCTCGGTAGTGATGGACTGCCTCAGTAATGGGGGACGCTCTTTCCCTCACAGAGTTGGGTCCAGTTGCACTTGCTGTGAAACTCTCAATTCAGGGTGTTTCAGATTGCTGGTCTTTGTGGGGGTGGGACCTACCAAGCCAAATCACCTGGCTTCCTATTTCAGCCCCCTTTTCTTCAGTTGAATAGGCAGCTTTGTCTCCCAAGCATTCCAGGTGCCAGTGAAATGGTCACCCAGTTCTGTGTGCTTTTTTGTGTGGAGACCCACTGTGCTGGTTGATCAGTCACCCTCTGTGTTGTTCTTGCTGGGACCTGCACTCCAGAGTAGATCCAAGATTCAGCCATCTTGGATCCCTTCTCCTAAAATATATTTTTGAAAAAGGGGTTCTATGTTTGCAGGCTTAAAAAATTAAATGATCTTTACTTCAATATAGTTTAATTGTGTTACCCCTAAACCAAATAATATTTTCTTTCAAGGACAAGAGATTAGTTAGGGAGTCCAAGGTTCATTTTGTTAGCTAACTGAAAATAAATTGGTGGCAACATAAGAGTTGGAATCTAAAAACTCATAGTAAATTGCCCTATCTTAAAAAATGGATTTAAAATTCTGTGAAGAGGAATACCTCTCTAACAAATGAAAACCTGGCACCATTTCTGACAATCGTATCTGTAAATTTATTAGGCACATGTGTACATACACACATACACACACACACACACACACACACACACACCCCTGATGTTTAGCTAGCATGCTCCAGTGCAGTGTGTCTCTTCTGATCAGTCTTGCATTTATTCTGTTTGCTTTGTGCTTACACCTTTCTAGTCATTAAATTATTTTGACTATTATTCCTACTTATATATATATGTGTGCCTGAGAAATAGCAATCACATACCGTGAAGCACCTCTGTGGGAACTTAATTAATAATAAATGAGAATTGAGACTCAGACACCACCTTAAGAGATGCCTATTAGAATGTAATTCTATTTAAAAGAAAGTAATATAAATGCAATAAACTTGCTCATAATCATGCTGAGTTGACTAGAAATGCTTCATTTCTCCTGTTTTTACTATCCCAGTAAAATAGTGTAAACAAATAGAGGCTGAGTGGAACAAGGGCAAGATGACAGTAACAGTTGGAGATAGGAAGAGTTCGTAAAAAATAAAAATTAGCTGGAGAAGTGGTAACTAATATGGTAGAGTGAAGGAGTTGCTGTCTAATATGAGGAAACTGAAAGAGAGAACTGAGCTTGGTGCACAGACCGAAGTCAGGAAGAGGACTGGAATAGCAAATAAGATCGTCAGATGGAGGTCATCATACTGCATGAGTGAGGGTCCCAGTCTTCTCTGCATGGTTTGAAAAGTACCAGTAGCCAGAGGTACTAGAAAATGAGTCATATGGAAACTTTTCCTACTTAGCATAACCATCTGCAGTGATGCTGACTATTTGGCAAAACATATGCATATACACAAAGCCTCCAATCAATATTTTAGTGACTCATTCTTAAATATGAAAACCAACCATCATCCAATATTTAAGGGAAGCCTCCAAAACAAAAGACAGAAAACATAACAAACCAAAGAAAAGATGGAACTCTATTGGAACACAGAAAATGCGAGCAGATAGAATATTTAAAAATATATGTTTAATGCCCTAAAAGAGATAAGGAGACACATCACATCTAAGAAAGAACATTAAAATACTCAGAGAACATAAAGAATCAGAGAAGCACATTTAGAAATTTAAAACAAAATTTAAAAAATTAAAATTCAATGGAAGGTTTAGATACCTTATAATGTCTCCTTGCAGGTGGAATAAAGGAGATGGAACAGTAGAAAACTTTCCATGCTACAGTATTATATTTAAAAATTACAAAGAACACAAAAATATAAGAATGAATACCAGAAACAAAGGATATTCTTCTTCAGTTTGAAGATTCAATATAATCATTATCATCACGTAATAATAATAGCCCATCTTACCTTCAATATTTTTCTTTTTCCAGAGATCTTGAAAGAGCAACAAAGTCATAAAATAGAATCTAAGTTCATGAATCATCTCTTAAAGTAAAGCAGCCTCTTTCTCAGAAATACCTATAGATTGTTTCTCTATTGACATTCTTTTTTTATTACTCTTGCTCATATTTCACGTCGTTTTCTTTAATATATATTAATAATTATTATGAAGTCTGTGTCTGGCAGTTTCAATATTGTGTGACTATTGAAGGTTCACTTCTTATTCATTGTGGTTTTCTTTCTGCTTCTTTGCATATTTTATAATTTTTTATATTTAAAATGACTCTGGATAATAAAGTTGACAGTTTTTTTTTCTCCTCCAGAAAGAAAAGTTGTTTGTTTTGTTTTTCTGTGTGGCAGAGAGGGTGAAGATCTGATTGTTTTGATTCAATAATAAATTAAACTAATTTGATACTGGGTTGTAAATCAGGTTATGTTTAATTCCTCTCTCTTTTCAAATGTATTGACTGATTACAGGTTACTACACCCAGCAGGACCTTGGAATTTAAGCACCACAAGATTATGGAAACCTCACTCTACCTTCTAGTGCAGCCACTGGCCTCATGCACCAACCCATTACTAAAAAACACCACCTTAGAGGAGAAAAGTCATCCAAAAAATGTTCACCGTATATATGAGGCTCCTTCAGATTTTAATCCTTGACACTAGCCTGTATGAGAAATAAAGGCTTTGGTTGTGTCTCTTCCCTCTAGCAGAGTCTCTTTCCATATTACAAGCTTGATCCTTCACTAAAGCTTAGACTTGGCTTTATCCAGGAAGAAACGTGACTGCATAACTCCTCTTGGCAGGGCACGGTGGCTCATGCCTGTGATCCCAACACTTTGAGAGGCTGGGGTGGGTGGATCACTTAAGGTCAGGAGCCTGGCCAACATGGCGAAACTTCATCTCTACTAAAAAACAAAAATTAGCTTGGCTTGGTGGTGTATGCCTGTAATCCCAGTTACATGAGAGGCTGAGGAAAAAAATATCTTGAACCCAGGAGTCAGAAGTCACAGTGAGCCAAAATTACGCCACTGTACTCTAGAGCTTGGGTGATAGAGTGAGACTCTGTCTCCAAAAGTAAAATAAAATAAGATAAAATAACTCCTCTTACTTAAGAAGGACGTTTTCCTATTATTTATTCTTCAAATCATACAGAGTTCTCCATTGTCTTTTACAAAACATCATTTGGATACTTTATGCATTCTCCCTCCTAATTGTTATGGTGAGAGTAATGGGTCACTGTCATGACTAGAAATATTACCCATGTAATATTGTATTAATCCATTTTTCATAGCTATAAAAGAATGCTGAGGCTGGGTAATTTATAAGAAAAAGAGGTTTATTTGGCTCACAGTTTTGCTAGGTGTACAAGCATGACACTCACATCTGTTTACCTTCTGGCGAGGCCTCAGCAATCTGAAAATCATTGTGGAAGAAGAGTAGTCAGCACCATATGGTGAGAGAAGGAGCAGGAGAAGAAGGAGGAGGTGCCAGGATCCTTTAAATCACCAGCTCTCACATGAAATAAGAGAGAGAACTCAGTCATTACCATGGAGAAGGTGCCCACCCATTTGTGAGGATCCTCCCTCATGATCAAAACACCTCCCACTAGGTCCCATGTCAACATTGGAGATCACTTTTCAATATGGGATTTGGAGGGGACAACTAACCAAACTATATGCCCATATTATGTGATTTTAATATAATGTGGTGGTTTATTAAACAGACTACCATTAATCTAACTAACAGAATAAATTTTTGGTAAGAGCTACTAAAATAATAAAAACAGTAATGGTAGTGCCCGAAACATAACCCTCAAAATTTATAACATAGAAAAATGACAATGTCTAAAATGTTCAACATAAGAAAATATAGTATTATTAAATGATTTAAATATACAAATAGCTAAAAAAACTTAAACATTACTTCATCTGGGCAACAATATTAGTGGTTAGATGAGGACCATGTTAAGAACTGCTGTTTTATTACAAGATTTTCTTTCATCTTATTTGACTTTTTAAAACTCTGAGTGAGCATTATCTTCATAAAAATAAAAATATAGAGAGGCTAGATGAATAAAATTAATCAGATAGCTAGAAAGATAATGCTATTAAGACCATGGTAAATCAAAATAATGAATTCCAAAACTGGGGGAGTTCAGAGGAAGGAAAATTACCTTCATTTGATAGCATCAGGAAACAGTTCATGAAAATATTGACATTTAAGCTGGGAGGGGATGGTCTAAAGTCTCAACTTTAGTTAAACCTCAGGCTGAAAGAATATCTTGGGTAAAGACAGGATGTATGTGGAGGTGAGGAGAAGTCTGGAGAATATAGTATATATGGAAGACTAATGGAGTCAACACATGTGGTGAATGTAATGAGAAATATTTGAAAATAATATTAGAGATCACTGAATGCCAACTAAAGAGTTCATGGCCTGCCTGAGAGGCAATGAGAATCACTGAAGATGACTGAGCACGGAATAGGTCTGATCAGACTTGTGATTCAGAATCATTTATATTATGCACACTCATAAAGGGTTTAAGTGAAACTTAGAGGTAGGAGACAACATTGTTCTTGTTCAGCCTTAGTCCTCAGAAATAAAAAGTACCAATATATTAAACTCAAATTTGCTCTATAGTTCACAGATATGAATTGGAAAAATATGTTTAATTACTGAACTCAAATATTATTCTTTTTTCTGACAACATGAGCTCCCAAATTTCCTTTTAGACATATACACGAAGAAGTTGAAGGAATAGGGACACTATAAAGATCTGTTTACTTAAGAGAATTTAACTTACTCATCTATTAATTTTTATGTTACCCTCTGTTAGAAGAATTGGATAAAAAGAAAGTTATTTTATTCAAAACTAGACCATTGGAATCTAGTCTAGACTATTGGTGCTGTATTTACTGCTGTATCTCAAAGTTAAATAATTATAGGTATAGGTATAAAAAGAAAGTCTAAAGGATAGACCAGAGTTGGCAAACCAATGTTCTACAGTGGGTGAAAAGTTTTTGGAGTTAGGCTTAATAAATCATAAGTGGAAGAAAGAAAGAGAGGAAGGAGGGAGGGAAGAAAGGGAGGGAGGGAAAATGGGAGGAGAGAGGGAGGGAGGGATGGAAGGAAGGAAGGAAGGAAGGAAAAGAAGGAGGGAAGGAAGGAAGGAAAAGTTGTCATGTGCTTAAACAAAGTGAGTGGAAGAAAGGAGCCAGAATCAAGTAAAGAACAACTAAAATTTTTTCATTATCAGCATCCATATCAATGAAACCCAATGTATTTGATGTAACCTGAACAAAATAACTAGTGCTTTGAGCTCTCATTTTATGTAATTCCAGAGGTAAAAATAAAGTGCTATGCTCTTTGATATGAATGAAATATATCAAGAAAAAAATAAATGCTACCAAGTACGCTAAGAAATTGCAAATTGTTCTTAACAAATTAAACAAGTGATGTGAAAATAAGTTCTCTTGTGAAGAAAAAGCAAAGTCAAACAAAGGGAAATGTTGCTCATTATCTTTATCTGGGAATTTCATTGAAGTCTTGAGCATTGTGGGGTTTGTGGCTAACATGATTCATTGCTTCTGTCCATGTGTTGCTTAGATTTTTTTTTTCAGTTTCCTCTAATTAGCATGTGAGTAATGATGGTCAGATATTTTAATGGTTTTGAATTCCAGGAAGAGAAAAAACTTCTTTCTTAAAAGCTGTTATTTAATCATATATTTTGATCACATAAAAAACAACATGGCAAGAAGTTTTGAGCACAAAAGGTATCTAAGTCCAATATGGCCCCACTGATTTTTTTTCTCTGTGTGGTTCTACTTGTCTGTACCTAACTGGTATTGATGGTCATCTAGAAAAGCTAGATCCTCATGGCATATTATTCTTTGAATATTTGTTTATCTCCCATCATTCTAACAGTTCCTAAAATTTCATTTTCAGTCTGTCTTAACTTCTTTCAATCAGCCAAATAGAATGTATTATTGAGTATTCCACAGAACTCCTTATTTATATTGAATAATTACAATGCATTCTTAAAGTAATGCTCTTATGAGCTATGCTTCAGCTTTTTTTAAAAAAACACATTTGATGCATTTTTTCCATTTTTAGAAGATCTTACAATTAAAAAAGGTCATTATTAAGGTGATTTATAATTTTTTAAAGTTAACTCTGAGAATTGTTTGAAAGAGTAAGTAACTGTGGTAGATTTGAAGAAACTATGGAAATATCCAGTGACAAAGCTGACTCAGGACAAAGGATCAAACACAAGCTCAACTGAGATAAACAAACAGAACCTAATTATTTCATGCTTGAAACAGTATTTGAATGTGAAGAAGAAAATTTGTTACTTCTATACATTGCCTTCCATATAGAGTAAGCAATACAAGGAGTAATGTCATAATTTCATAATCCTGTGATTTCTAATTTAAGGAACCAATAAGCAAGCTCTATGTATGAATTGGGAGAGTATCTGAGGCATAGGAGAAAATAAATAGAAAAAATTTTCATTTGAAGAAAGCTCTATAAAAATTTAAAAAAAGATAATATGCCTCATATGCATGGCATTTTAAAATGGTATTGTAGAGGGAGGCAAAGCAGCTAAAGGCTCATGGAATTCCCTTCCTTTCTAGTTATAAATCAACTATATACCTATACGCATCATTCCATTAACGTAAGTGGTATTTATATCTGATTGCACATTAAAAACTTCTATATTTTTAAATCCTCAAGCCCACATCTCACCCCGGGAGAGTCTGATATAATTGTTTGGGGCTCAGAGATTGGTATATTTCTAATTGCACCCCAGGTGATTCTGATGTGCGGAAAGGGTTAGGAGTTTCTGCATTAGATCATGGTAACAGTGATACTATTAGTCTACTCCAAGCTGGGCATTGTGGTAAGGTCTTCACTTGCGTTGTCTCATTTAATCCTCTCAGCAACCCTAAACTTCAGAAATTACTTGCCTCATTTTGCTAATGGGACAAGCAGAAAAATTAAATCAATAATTTGCCCAAAGCGATGCACCTTAGAATTGTTGAAGCAAGGCCTCAAACTAAAGCTATGTGAATTTAAGGCCTGAACTCCTAAGCATCTTTGTTACCTAATTTCTGCATCTTGGTTGCAATAATAGAAGCATCCTTATTTCTCACTCTCCCTCCTGGCCCAAAGGAGCCATAAGCCATGACTCAGGGGAAGTGTCACCATCTCTTCAGAATTAGGCAAAATGTGAAATACATAAAGGAGAATATAAAAACTTTTTGCCTCTAGAATACAATGAATTGATCTGTTTTGAATAACAGAGACTGTTTCAATTTTTGTTAATTATCATGATTAATTATCACAAATATTGGAAATTTTGTATTAAAAGATACATTACAGGTTTCTCTTTAAAAGCTATAAAATACGTAAAATCCTGGACCAAAACAATCAAAGTCGTTAGCCATAAATGGGTTGTGCTTTCTCCTATTTACCATAGCCCCCATGTGTACAGATTGTTTTATATGCCAGTAATCCACAAAGATTAACATTTACATGATTAACCTGAAGGTATTTTGAAAATGAAGACTGTCAATTTAGTAGGATTGGAATGGGGCAGACATTCAGTATTTCCAGAAATTTACCAGTTATGATGATATTCCTGGTACAGATATTGATTATCAAGGTTATATTCCATCTACCATACTTAACGTACTTGACTTACATTTAATTACATTAATTAGTTTTGTGTCCCCTACCACAGATCCTTATGAAGTCTCACATAAACTACTTCACTCCCTTTTTCTGGGAGAAAAATAAAAGCATGTGTTTTATCATATTTTTGCTTCCTTTTTTCTTTAAAAAAAGTGATTTTCTTTCTGTTGAATGGCACAAAAGAACGAATAAAAGTCCATTACTGCAGCATCCAGTGTAGTGCCAAATGACGAATGCGATTGAAAACACCAGCAAATAAGACATTAGCAATAAATGACAAGAGTAAAGAAGAAGATAATTATATCTACGTGAAACATATTTGGATATGTATGCATTGAAGTAATCTACCATAAAAAGGCAATATGACACAATTTGGAGTTAAGATCACTACAGCAAATACACTTATCCTATATCTTACTAATCTCCCTTTCAACTTGATTTACTATACCTATTAAAATATTACAACAGTATTTTGTTTGTCACAGCTCTTCCAAAATGTTTAACACTTTTCTTAATCACACCAAGTCTATGTCAGACTGGTTGATCCCACTATCATAGTGTTTATATTGCTCAGTATTTCAGAGCTGAAATGAAAAATCTCTCTGCAGATGAAGGATGGAAAGAAATATATTGACTTTAAGCTGAGAGAGCTGAATGATCCATGATTTCATTCACAATACATTGCTACCATCACTCAGTGTTAACATTCCTGTTTGTTTATTGTATTTTCTTATATTGTGTCAATTCACTATTTCCATTTCCATGACACACTTGTCAATTACTCCAATGTGGTAGATATATGTCCTTAATAACAC